GGGGGCGCAGGTGCCGCCGCCGCCGCCGCACCTTGGTCCTGCGGCCGCTGCTCCCCGCCTGCTGCTCCGGCGGCCGTGGTGGCTGCGGGCTCGGCCTGCTGCCGCCGGGCCCGTGTGGAGAGGCGGCTGCGGCACAGCGGGCAGCAGAGGCCCGGGCCCTGCAGGCAGCGCTGGAAGCAGGCGAGGCAGAGCGAGTGGCGGCAGGGCGGCGTCACCGCCTCCACCAGCGCCTGCCGGCACACCGGGCACTCAGCCACCGCCAGCACCACCGCGTCCTGCTCCTCCTCGGCCGCAGGCCGGCCCCGCCGCCGCCGCCCCCGCACCGCGGCCCGGCCGCCGGCACCCGCCGCCGCCGCCGCCGCCATCTTCCCACACTTTGAAGGGCCGCGGCGGCCACGCCTATCCACATAATTCATGAGGGGACGCCCCCCGCGCGGTTCATATTAATGAACGCCGCGCGCCGCTCCCGCCTCCGCGTAGGCCACACCCCCTCATTACTGGGACAGAGGGTGGGGCCACGTGTGAGTTCCCGCTCTTTGTCGGGACGGGACGGGGACGGGGACAGCCGGCTGCTAAGGGCAAACTATGGAATCACAGATGGTTTGGGTTGGAAGAACCCTAAGGATCATTCAGTGCCACCCTTGCCATGGGCAGGGACACCTTCTACTGTCCCAGGTTCCTCCAAGCCCCAGTGTCCAGCCTGGCCTTGGGCACTGCCAGGGATCCAGGGGCAGCCACAGCTGCTCTGGGCACCTGTGCCAGGGCTTTTCCATCCTCGCAGGGAGCAGTTCCTTCCTAATATCCAATCCATCCCTGCGCTCTAGCAGTGGGATGCCATTCCCTGTGTCCTGTCCCTCCATCCTTTGTCCCAAGTCCCTCTCCAGCTCTCCTGGAGCACCTTCAACACTGGAAGGGGCTCTGAGCTCTCCCTGGAGCCTTCTCCTCTCCAGGTGAGCACCCCTAGCTCTGCCAGCCCGTGACTGTAGTGGGTCGCTGGTCTCTCTCTGTCCTTATCCTGACCCATGAGCCTTCTGTTCAGTCTTCCCCCCTCTGTCCATCTGAGGAGGGGAGTGATGGAGCAGCTTTGGTGGGCACTCAGTGTCCAGCCAGAGTTAAACCACCATGGATGGTGACTCAGAGCAAGCCAGAGGAGGCAGAGCCTCTGCACCAGTTGCTATGGAAATCTCTTGCACTTCTCTTCTGCTTTTCATCTCTTTACTGGGGCACCAAACCAATCTCTTCTCATCATATTTTAGCACCCTCTCTGATGAAGCCTCTCAGCTACATTGGGTTGGCAGAAGAGAAAATGTGGCTGCAGAAACAGAGGTGAAGCCCTATACCTTTGAGCCTCCCCGAGGAGGCTCCTCGCATGCATGAGAGGCTCCTCAACCATGCGTGGTTAGAGAGAGGAAGGGATGTTCCATGCCCAAGAAACGGCCTCTGCACATGTGCCAGGAACTTGCTGGGGGATATCATTAACTTTCCATCTCACCCACATTTCTATCTTTAGTTTTCTCTGGCTGTTGAATGACTAAAAGGATACCAGCATGTGGATCCCTGCTGTTGTGGGCTCCATGAAATGCCAGTTGACAAAAAAGTTCCTTCTTGTGAAACAAAAAACTCCTGCTGACTTTATTAAGATGAATTATGGCAGTGGTTTGGGACTGGACTTAATCCAGCAATTTGTGTGTCTGTCCCGTAGATGCTGCTGCTGGCCAGAGTCAGATAGAGTGTGTTATTCCCTGGCTCCCCACAGAGCTGCTGCTCCCCGGGATCAGCCTGACCTGGGAGCTGGGCACTGGGGGAGCCCTTGGGGAGGGACAGGGAATATGGGAACAGGAGACACTCCCCCACCAAAGCTGCTTGGAGGACAAAGGGCTATGCAGAGCTTTAGCTCTCTGCAGAGTCCTAGGCACATCGGATTTGGAAAAGGATCTCTGCCAGTTGTTCTCCAAAATTGCTTCTGCACATCCAGCCTGCCTTGGACAGAACTTGGTTTCTGTGTCTCCAGCTTGTCTTCCAACCCAAAGCCCCACAAAGGGCAATGGTTTTACACTGCCAGAGGGTAGGGTTAGATGGAATCCTGGGAAGAAATATTTTACAATAAGAGTAATAAAAAAATGGCCCAGGTTGTCCAGAGAAGCTGTGGCTGTCCCATCCCTGAAAGCATTCAGGATCAGGTTGGACAGGGCATGGAGCAGCCTGGGGTAGTGGAAGGTGTCCCTGCCCACAGCAGGGGGTGGCACTGCGTGAGCTGTAAGGTTCTTTCCACTCCAAAGCCCTCTGTGGTTCTATAGTTCAGGATGTGCGGAGCTCAGGGCTGGCCTGCAGAGGGAATCCTAAGCCCGTGCAAGGCTCCAGCCTCAAATCCTACCATCCCCAGCCAAAACGTCAGCCTTTCCCAGCCTGCCAGGGAATGTTTCTCACCTCTCCCGAGGAGATGGCAGGGTTTTGCCACCACCGTTTCTCTTCACAGTCCTCCCAGCGATGATGTCGGCCCTAGCGGGCAGATACCTTCCATGGAGTATGGGTGGGATGTGTTGTGGTGCATATGGGAGATACAGACAGGCCCACGATGCTGTGCTCTCCCGTTTTTCCTCTCTATCTTTCCCCCTTGCTTTATTCAGCCTTTCTTCACCCCTGCCTCTTACTTGGTTTCTGATCTCCATCCCCGGAGGAGAATTTCTTGCCCTCTGTCCTCTCTATATCACTGGATTGCACTGATTATAGACTATTTATTTGGGTTTGTGCTTGGCAACATGCTCAGACTCTAAAAAAAATTACCAGATTTCCCATTCCAGGTTGGACTACATGCTTCCATGGATAAATTATCTTCTTAAGCCTCATGGGGTCACTGACTGCCTTAAACCCTTTAAAAGGTGTGGTTTCAGAGCTCTTCAAAGCCCACCAGCTCTCCAGTGAGGTGGAGTTTCACACATTGGAAAGAACTCCATGGGAAACATGGATGTTCTGATGAACACCTCTCAAACACCTTCAGGAGACCTCCATAAGGAGCTGCTGCCAGCATTAATCACCCAACAGGATGGGAGTAGGGAATTACGGACTGCTTTGGGTGGGGACAGTAAAGCTCATCTCATTCTGACCCCCTTGATGTGAGCCGGGTACTTCAGAGTGCTGCGGGTTTCCAGCTCCATTGCCTACAGCTGACAGCCCTCTCATGTGCATTTCTCCTTGCCCATGCTGGATCAAATGCCAGGGATGAAGGGCTACAAATTTCCAAGGAGGAAAGCCAGCTCCCAGCTCACACTCCTGCCACAAGGCTCGCAAAGTAGGGGTTGTTATTTACTCAGCAGTTTGCAGGAGATTCTGTTTTCATTCTCATTAAAAAAAAAAAAAAAAAAAAAAGAGAATTGTCTTGTCTCCCTGATTGCCCAGAAAACATAAAGTGAGTTTGACCTAAAGACTCAGGAACCAGAAGGCGAACAGAACAGGCCCATGTTTTATTATTTGCAGGCCAATGCCATGGTTTTCTGGAGCCTGATTCATGATCGCAGATGGATTGATGCTGGCAGTATTGAACTGTCAGACAGATTCCTCCACAGATGAAGATAAAGAACCTTGGTTTTGCCAAAGGGTGAATGTATTCTTTATGAGATCCAACAGAGATGTAACACAGCACCTTGCTCCTGACAAGGCTGGCCTTTATTTCCTGGGTCTGCACTTAGAACATGCCTGAACTTTCCCATAAGTTTTAGCCCTGATGTGGGGCCAGGATCTACAGTCCTGAATTCAGCTGCTGCTGTTGCAGCAGAGGCACAAAATAACTTCATTGACTTGGACTTTGTGTCCCCATTTTTCTAAGTACTTTCATAACTTGCCCACAGACTTGTGCTACAAATGGGCTTTTCAAGTCAGCCCTGCACAAGGGAAGAGCTGGGAGAGGAGGTACCAGCTTTTCCTGGTGGGAGCTGGAAGGAGCTGCTGTTTACCCAAACCCCTTAAACATCTTTATCGAGGCAGGAGGGGAAAATCGAGGGGCATTGCTAGAAAAACTTGCAGAGAGCTGGAAATGAGTGGAGCAGTGAAAAAAGGGGAGTGGCATTAGATGGTGATAACTTTCTGCTCTGGGTCCAACGGCACAAGGACCTGGAGCTGCTGCAGAGAGTCCAGAGGAGGCCCCGGAGCCGCTCCAGGGCTGGAGCCCCTCTGCTCTGGAGCCAGGCTGGGAGAGCTGGGGGTGCTCACCTGGAGAGGAGAAGGCTCCAGGGAGAGCTCAGAGCCCCTTGCAGGGCCTGAAGGGGCTCCAGGAGAGCTGGAGAGGGACTGGGGACAAGGCCTGGAGGGACAGGACACAGGGAATGGCTTCCCACTGCCAGAGGTCAGGGTTAGACACAGGGAAGGAATTCTTCCTTGTGAGAAGAATTCCCATTTGTGGGTGGCCCTGGAATGTGACAGCACAGCTTGTGCTTTCTGTAGAGGGCCATTTCCATCGGAAGTGCAGAGTATCCCTGTGTTCGGGGCTCCTGTATCCCCTGGAATTCCTGGGTCTTTCAGCAGCATCACACCCGCCATTCCCAGGGGTAAAATTGTTGTTAGAGCTAGTAAACAACAGATTGTGACCATCCCTGCAGATGTCTCAGCTCTGTCTTCTGCTCTGCACACTGGGCTGTGCTCTTGGTGGGTCACAGCAATTCCTGTGGCGGAGAGTCAAAGTGCAGTGAAGATTCACCTGCATTTCATCACCAGTATTTCTCACTTTCTTCCCAGAAGGTATGTCCAGCCCACATGAACAAAGAAATGCGTCTTGGTTTCTTTTGCTCACAGCTTAACGAGAAAATAACAAAGTTGGTGATTTAAAGGGATATTAAAGGCTTTCTTATTACAAAGATTTCCCTCATATCCAGCTCCAGGAACAGGCACCTGCAAGCATGGTTTGGTACAGGGGGATGTGTTGGCACCCGGGGTAGAGACAGAAAAAATTAGGAGATGGATGGAAAGAAGAAGTTTTTTTTCTGCAGAAATTGTCCTTGATTTCTTTCATCTCTGCAAGAAATGGGCCTTGGAGTTGGTGTGACCAGGAAAAGGGTTTTGGGGACGCTGTGGCAGACCAGTGGCTTGGTGCCACTCTCAGTGTGGGATGGCAACAGGCACAAAGATCTCACACCTTGGAAAGCTCAATCCTGAGCTTGAATTAAGAGAAAAAAAATGAGTAACTTGGTCCATGGATGAGATCTCCTGTCACCAAAGGGATCACAGGTGATGACAGTTCCTCCCTGTCTGGGGGGTGTGAGAAAGCTGAAGGAGATGGCGGGAAGAGACCTTGTGTTGTAGACATGAAAGCGTTTGCAAAGAAGAAGCCCAGGAATCCTGCAAGGTTTGGGAGCTTCATCCAAGCCTTCCCATGGTGGAACACAAGGAGTTCATCGCTGCCTTAAAGCCTGGGTTTCATGTGCTAATGAAGTGTCTTGCTTGCTCTGAGCACCCCTGCAAGCCGTGAAGGTGGATCAGGAGGATCGGGTAAAATCCACACAAAATCTGGTCTAAGGAAGCTGCAGAAATTCACCTCCATAGTGAACTGGTGGCCCCGGATTTTTCTGGCCCTGCTGAGGGGACACAACTACTCAGGGAAGATCCAGCGCTGCTCAACTTCTCCCTGAGACTCTTGGAGGGTAGAAAGCTGAGCCCCATAGACAGGCAGAGAAAGGCTGGCAGCCCGAGCTGGACCACTTTGTGCAGGATCTGGGGAGCAGCAGGAACAGGAGCAACGTTGTGTGGAGGCCAGGTGGCTTCTCCAGGGATGACGGCATGACCCGTGGTTTTCCAAGCCATGGTGTTTCTTGCCCGTCATGTGGAGACGGACGGCAGCTGGGTGGGAGGAGGGTTTGGGATTGTGGACTGGGGCAGGGGGGCTCCTGAAGGCAGGGTCTACACCGGTCATTTCAATGGCTTTATGAAGCTAAGGGAATGTCAAGCAGCCGGTGGGGAGAGCCGAGTGTCCAGGTGGCGTTTGACAGGGAGAAGGGGTGCAGCCGGGCCTTGTTTGGGGCCGTGATGTACCCCATTAATGTCCCCTCTTGGCTCGTAGCCCCCAGGGCGAGGTGCAGCCCGGCAGAGCCCCGGCCGCAGGGCGGCAGGGGTTAACCCTGCGGCTCTCGCACCACCTCCCCGCCCGCCCTCCCTCCTCCCTCCCGCCGCCGAGGAATTTCCTAAAACACCCCCCCAAAAAAGTGGGAATATAACAATAATAATAATAATAACAATAATAATAAATAATAAAATACCCACCCTGCGGATCCCCCCTCCCGCTTCCATCTCCGCCTTTAATACCAACAAACAACTCCGCGACTCTCCCTAAAGGAGGAGCCTTTGATCGGAGAGAGACGAACCCCGCCGGGCACCGGCACCCCCGGGCACCGGCAGCACCGGCACGGCAGCGCCGGCACCGGCAGCACCGGGCACCGGCACCGAGGCACCTCCGGGCAGCCACAGCGCCGGGCACGGGCGCCGCCGGCCACCGACACCCCCGACACCGGCACCGGAGCATTGCCGGCACCGGCAGCACAGGCACGGCAGCACCGGCATCCCCGGGCACCGGCACCGCGGCACCTCCGGGCAGCCACAGCCTCGGCCCGGCAGCCCCGGCCCGGCAGCCCCGGTCCGGCAGCCCCGGTCCGGCAGCCCCGGTCCGGCAGCCCCAGGCACCGAGCCGTGCTCCGAGGAGCCGACATCGCAGTCGAGACCGCGGCACCGCCGGGCAGCAGCGAAACCCTCAGCACAAACCCCGAGACATCGCCGGGACACCGGGCAGCGCACCCCCGGGCACCGGGACCGGAGCCCCAGGGCACCAGCACCGGGCTGCGATGCTTCCCGGGGAGGGCCCCCTCGCCTTCCTCCTTCGGTGCCTCCTGCTCCTCTTCGCCTCCGAGAGCCGAGCCCGGGCTCGTAAGTCTTACCCGCTCTTGTCCCGGCTGCGCTGCTTCCCTCCGTGCCTCAGTTTCCCCGGGGTCCCCAGGAATTTGCGGGGGTGCTTTGCGGGCATGGCTGAGGGCTCAGGGAGGCTTCTGACCACGGCAGGTGTTGGCCCTCCGCTGCTGGGATGTCCCAGGCTATGCAACCAGCCCGGTTTCCCATCCTGCAATGTTGGGGACACGGCTGTGTCCCCCTCTGCCTGCTGCTGTCCCCGCCTGCTTTGAAGGGTTGTGGTGATGGTGAGGGGGCTGAGGGGCTCCGGGGGCCGGCGGGGGCGTGAGGAAAGTCTGGGACCCCCTTTCCATGGGCTAGAAATGCCACAGAGCAGGAGGTTGTCTCACAGACCTTCCTCTGCACAGATCCCACCCTGCACGAGTGCATCTCCCCTCCGAGGGTGGATGGGGACAGAGGCAATGCCTCCCCCGCCCCAAAAAAAGCTGGGGGCTTTCCTCCACATCCATCCCTTGTCCATCTCCACATCCATCCCTCAGTCTCTCCGACTTTTGCTCCCAGCAGGCTGACTGAGGCAGAGAAGGTTTGGGATAAGGAAGGGAGGTTTGGCACTTCCCACAAAAAGGCTTGAAGGACTTGGCCAGAGCTGGAGGGTGCTGGATGTGTTAACTGGGATAAGGAAGGGAGGTTTGGCACTTCCCACAAAAAGGCTTGAAGGACTTGGCCAGAGCTGGAGGGTGCTGGATGTGTTAACTGGGGCAAGGAGGTGGGTTTGACTTGGGCAAAGCGCTGGAACCCTACCAGTAGGTGCTGAGCACCCCTGCAACATCGCAGAGCCACCAGAGCTCTGAGCAAATTGCAGCAGGACCTGTTGTGTCCCTACATTTATTCTTCCCTTTAATCTCCTGGAATCCCAGAGGAGTCTGTCGGTGGCTTCGTCAGGGTGATTTACAACCTGCCTGCTGCCAGCAGTGCATTAGGCACTCAAATAATCATCCTCCTGGAGTGTGGACCCAAAATACGAGCACTGGATTGCTCATCCCGACTCTGGGGTGTGCTGGGGGGAAAAGGCGAGTGATGGATGGGGCTGTGCAAAGCCCTGGAGAGCAAAATCTGGGTGAATTCAGCTCCTTTCCCTTCCCTGGGCTCATCCAAAGCTGCCAAACCCAGCCCACAGCATCTGTTTCTTGAACAAGGGATGTGGGTCTGACTCCCTGCCTCTACCCAGGCTGCCATGGCAGGGTTGGGAAGGGGACGGAGACAGGTCCAGAAGGTGAAACAGGTGTTAGATGAGGTGTTTGCTCTTTGGAGGTGTAACAGAGCCTGTAAGATGGGCATGAACTACCTGGGTGGGGGCAGTAGGGGTTTGTCCGATTTGGGAGGAAGTGTTGGGGTCTGTTTGCAGGTTTTCTAATGTTGATAAGGAGCTGGTGGCTGTGGGATTGGAGCAGGGCTGCAGCAGGTAGGTCCAGGCTCACTCCCCAGCTCTGAAACACCTCAGCTTTGCTACAGGGCATATCACAGGATGTGGAGGGCTTGGCCAGGACTCGTCCCAAGGTCAAGGGCAAGTTTGGGTGACAGAGTCATCATCAAATTGTGGACTTCTCTCCACCATCCACCTCTGCAGCCTCACACTTTTCTCAGGGCTGGCTGTTCAGGGAGAGTGAAGACAGAAATAAATTAGTTACGAGCAGGCTCATCAGCCAAGGGACCTACAGTGTCGTGGCTAAAAATAGGTGAGAAGCAGAAATGCTCGGGCTTGAAGGCAAGTCAGAAAAAATTTGCCCACAGAAACAGGCTATTTTAGGGGATTTACACTCCAGCTGAAAAAAACATCAGAGGCACAGGTTACTGGGACGAATGTGCTCCATTCTGAGTAATTCAGGGGCAATGGTTGAATGCAATGATGTTTTGGCTGGAGGCATTTAAACACCAGCATCTCTGGAGAGCATGGGACAGTGGTTTTCCCCAGGAGCTTGGAAGCTGATGTTTAATTTCTTTTTAACATGGTTGCTGGAGAAAAGGGGGTTCCTGGGATCCCTCTGTCCTACAAGTTTGGATCCAGCAGGGATGAAGGGTGCTCCGAGATGGGAAGGACCATGATGGAAAGCGAGTGCTACCACATGCATGGTAAGGGAGAGGTGAGGGCTGCACACCCTGCTGTAGGTAGCAGACCATTCCCTTGGGAAGGAGTGGGGGGAAGCCGGACCCTGTCTGCCTGACTTCTCCACTCTGGAGAACTCAGAGATGCTACATGAGGCTGCATTTTCAGAGCTACAGAGTATTCAGGGCTCCCAAAGTCCCAAGAAGATGTTTCCAGCCCAGAACTGAGTGAGGCAAGTGTGTAGGGATTGATCTGGATGTAAGAAGAGTCTTTAGGATGCCACATGTCAAGGGCCCAATGTGTTTTAACCAGTCCCTTCTCAGCTAAGTTGCATTTTAAGCCCTTCATAAATACAAGGCTGTCATAGGAGTGCCTGGACTCTGTGTACCAGACAGTGCTCTTTACACTTTATTTATGGCTGCTCTTAAGACTTACAAACTGGTTTGCATCAACCACCTCCCTCATGCCCAGCATGGCGCTGGCTGGCAGGTGTGTGACCTCCAGAAAAACTGAAAAAGTGTCAGACATGCCCTGCTCCAGAGACAACTCCAAATGTGCCATCTGGGGATGCAGGACCACCCTCAGCCTCGGGATGAAACAGGAGAAGACGAGTGAGGGGAGATGAGCAAGACCCCACAACCTCTTGTTGAGCCATCAGAACGCTCCCAGGGACAGAATCACAGAATGTGGCATGGGTTGGAAAGGACCCAATTTAAGATTTAGGATAAGTACTGTGGGAAGCTTTCCAGCTACCGGGAAATGGAAACCTCACAAGAGGCTGTCACAGAAGCTCTCAGCTGCATCTTCACGAGGTGGTTCAGAGGCAGCAAGCCACAGTGACAAACTGAATGGTGTGGAGAAACCCATCCTGGGCTGCAGCTCTCACACCATGAGAAGGGAATGTCTCCTTAGGAGGTACCTCAGCAGCTTCAGACACCAGCCACCAACAAGATGCCACCCCACTGCTCTAGATCCAGCGAGAAGTAAACCCACATGACTTTTCTGAGTGTGCTGCTGCTGGAGGTGCAATAAGCAAAATCACCTTAGTGATCAGCATGGGAGCAATTCACTTCCACTAATGGCTTTCACTCCAAGTGGATTAGGCTGATATCCAAAGTCTGACCTCTGAAAATGGAATTATTAGCCTGGCATGGGAAAAAATGGTCAAGAGACTCCTTCTTTTAAGCCCCATCCATCCATCCATCCATCCATCCATCCATCCATCCATCCATCCATCCATCATCCATCCATCCATCCATCCATCCATCCATCCATCCATCCATCCATCATCCATCCATCCCCATCTTGTTTTTGCCTAAACATGCTGACACCTCTTGCCAAAATCAAAGCACTACTGAGATGCCAACAAGTGTCTCCTGCTTCCCAGCACAGCTTTAATTTTACCAGCAGGCCCTTTGCAGACATGAATCAGGCTGCTTTCGAGGGCTGGACCCAAACCAGGGCTCCACTTGTGATTAAATGTTTGAAGGAAGCAGCCAACTGGCATGGGAGCCTGCGAGCTGAGCAGGGCCACGTCACACCAAGGCAACTCTATTTCTTCACCCTCAGCATAATTCATGAGGATGCTGCAAGCAGGGAAAGATGAAGTCATTTTCTCACCCTTTTGCAAAACTATGATTTTTTTTTTGTATAGGTTTTTTTTGTTGTTATTTTTGGGGGATTTTTTTGTTTGTTTGTTTTTGTTTTCTAGTTTTGTAGAGTTTTTTCCTCTCTCTTCTGGGTTTCCTCACATTCAAGCCACATGCCCACTAGTTTTGTGTGGTTTGCTGTAAGCTCATGACCTGTGTGGCCAGGAATAGGGGGTTGCTGACTTGTCAAGAGCTGTGGGGACAGCGTCAAGTCCTGACCAGGGAAAAGGAAGGTAAACACCTCTGGTAACATCCACTACAAAGCTGCTGCAAACCCCCACACCTGCAGATGCAGTGGTGGCCCCACGCTGCTGTGCCTGGCCCAGGCAGTCTGGACAGCTGGTGGTCACCCCTTGTGAAGGTACAGCTTGGAGAATCAAGTGCCTAAAGCCATCAAAGAGAGGCTCAAATCTGCTGGCAGGGCTTGAGTTGGAAGAGACCTATAAAGATCTTTGCAGACCCACAGGGCTGCCTTTCCTGCTGGCCGGAGGGTCTGGCCATGGTAGAGCACACCTGGGCTCATCCTGAGGGTGGTCCTGAGCTGGAGGAGGGATTGCAGCCTAGTCCAGCGTATTTGGGGGGCATTTTGTCTGGCTGATTGGAGAAATCCATTAAGCAGGTGGCATCTCCAGCTTTGGCAAGGTGGGACACCACCAGCTGGGCCCTCCAAACCACTGCTGTGTCCCAGGTGACAGAGTGGCGCGTGGGATGCCTCTTAGCATCTTTTGGATGGTGAACGCCACTGAGATAATTTTGGACCCTCTGCTATTCATTAAGGAGCCCTCCCAACAGCCTGGCAGGGTCAGCACTCACCGGCTCACCTGAGTTCATGTTCCGCATGGTGGGCATCATGCCTTGGAAAACAGCCCTCCCCCTCTCCTGCATCCCCAGGGTGCTGCAAGGTTTTAAAAGACCCATAAATGCTTCAGGAACCGTAAACGTCTCCACTGCCTTCGAGCAACGCAATCACCCAAACTACCTCAAATTCCCTCGATGACATAACCTGTTAAATCACCCTCGGTTTTCAGCGGGGCTGTGAGCATGTGAGCCATGAGAATCACACACAGACAGGTGTGTGCTTAGAAAGAGCCCGGGTGCTGGGGTGGCCCTCTGCCTTGTCAGGGCTTTGGCAGTGGGAGCAGCACCCTGGCTGCTCTAGGGTCCGGGTTCCTGCAGACCCTGCTGGGTTTGGAGTTTGCTCTTGCAGGACCAGGTGGTGCTTGTGGGTGTGAACACTGAGGGTGGTTGAATCAGGGCTCTTGGCTGAAGTCCTGAAGGCTTTGTTGGTGATCCTGGCCTTGTCCCACAGGCTCCTGCTGCAGGCTGGCCTGGTCCTGCCAGAGGATTGGTTTATAACTCTGGACTTGGGGATGAAAGAGGTTGATAAGGACCTGCTAAAATATGAGGAGGGCAGAGATGTCCAAAGGGGGTCTCCTCCACTGCTTGTGCTGGGCACCATCTCATCCCTGTGCCATGGTGAGGTTAAATCTATGCCAGTGGAGGCAGGTCTGGATCATTTCTGGGACAGGCACCTCTGGTTCAGGAGCACAGCTGGAAGCTGCCTCTTCTCAGGATAGCAGGATCAAGAAGGAAGAAAAATCCCATGTGTTTATGCTTTTGGGGATGGAAAGTGGATGAGGTGGACTTGTTGTCCCCCTGTACAGCCCCATAAATGAAAAAGTCACTCAGTCAGGCCAGTGCTGCATCAGGCTGGGTAAAACCAAAGGGCTGAGACCTGGTGGGATGGCACAAGCAACCCAGTCCTGCTTGTTGTGGATCCTTGAGAGAATGAGCTGAAGCTCTTAAGGGGAGCAAAAGGTTTTACCCCAGGATGTGTTTTTCCCCATAATGTTTTTGTTTGGGTTTCTTCTTTTTGCTTTTGGTTGTTTTTGTTGGGCTTTTTTTGGGTAAGAGTGAAAATGCCCCCTAAATTCAGGGTCTCCCATCTCTGCCACCACTCCCAACCATTCTGATCTCACTGGGGGAAATTCCATCCTGTAGCATCACCCTGAAATCACCTGTCCATCTTCCAGTGAGCATTTTTGTTTTACAGTGAAAACTCAATTTTCTGCCTCAAAACCACCCACTCTGTTCCTTTCTTGCCAAGGGAGTCCAGTTTGCTCGGAGGAGTTGCTGTGTAGGTCAGATGGGTCCCAGTGTAAAAAATGCATGCAGAAAAATAAAATGGGGGGAACAAAATCTGGATTTGGTGGGTGGGATGTGGCTTGTGGGGAACAACAAGAAGGCTGTCCTTGCTCTCATCACAGAGAGGTCTCCCAGGAACCTTTTCTCATTTAGCTTCTCCTGGTTGACTTGCAGGGCCAGACATGTTCTGTGACTTCAACGGCAAGAAGTACAGCCCAGGGGAGAGCTGGCACCCGTACCTGGAGCCCCAGGGGCTGATGTACTGCATCCGCTGCAGCTGCTCTGAGGCACGTCCCCGGGACATGGTGGGGACATGGCTGCTGCTGCTGCTGCTGTGCTGTGGCTTGCTTGGCCCCTTTGAGGACAATCAGTCCCACTGTCTCACTTGACCAGAGAACCCTTTCCAGTCCCACAGTGGCATTGGGTTAATCTCTTCCCTTTGGCAAAAGCTGCTGCCCTGGGGGGTGTTGGGTTGACCTTGTGAGGGAGCTGCCTTGAGGAGGCCGTTTTGGTACTTAAAGGGAGCTTGTGAAAAAGACAGAGTTATTTTTTGCACAGCCAGATAATGATTGGACAACGGAAGGGTTTTAAACTAGAAGAGAGGAGAATTAGATTAATATGTTCACAAGAAATCCTTCCCTGTGAGGGTGGTGAGGCCCTGGTACAGGTTGCCTGGAGAAGCTGTGACTGCCCCATCCCTGGATGTGATCAAGGCCAGGTTGGAGCAGCCTGGGATGGTGGAAGGTGTTCCTGTCCATAACAGGAGGCGGAACAAGACCTTTAAGGTTCCTTCATAGCTAAATCATTCAGTGATTCCATGGTTGTGCCTCCGTAGCACTGGTGGGTTGTGGGTAGAGGTGGCTCAGGGCTCCTGATGATGGGCAGCCTTTGCTGATGGGAGACCATGATCTGGCTGGGCTTGAGCCAGGGCTGGACATATCCCTGGTGAGTTACAGCCAGCACAATTTGTTGTGATAATGCTGTGTTCCTCCTCTTGCAGGGGTGAACTGAATGTTCCCTGTGGACTAAACAAACCGTGTCTTTCTCTCCCCAGAACACCAACATCAGGTGCTACCGGATCCAGTGCCCAGCTCTGCCGTGTGCCAGCCCTGTCACGGATCCCCAGCAGTGCTGCCCACGGTGCCCTGGTAGGTGGACATTCCTCAGGGATGGGGTGACAAGGTGGCCACGGTCCTACAGGGCGGTGCCTCCACTGCTGCCACTTTGTGGCAGTGCAGTGATGCTGGATCTGGCCCTGTTCCAGCTGCCTTTTCCCTCCAAAAATCTCATTTTCATGGAAGAGGGCTCTCTGCCAGATCACCTTCTCTCCCCCATCCCAAGAGCTTTGTAGAGACAAAATGTCAGTTCACACTTCAGGGGCAAAACAGAAGCTGGCAATTTATTCTGATCATTTGCCAGCAAAATGTCTTGGATTTAAAAATAAAAAAAAAAATAAAAATAAAGTTTTTTAATAACTTTCTTCTCTGCACTGGAGATTATCTCAAGTTTTAGCCCCAATACTTTTCCTACTTTACCCCTATTGACTGCCTCATTTCACCTCAATATGTTCATTCTCACCCCCACAGATTACCTCAAGACTTAGTCCCAAAACTTTCTCTACCTGAGTGATGGCAAAGCTAGTCAGACACCATCAGTGATTTGAGAAATTAAGGAGAAAAAAAAAAAAAGGAAAAAAAACTCATTAATTTTCATTTTTTGCTAATTACCCATGAGATAAGCCCTTTTTACCTGACTCTATCTGAATTTGGCAATCGTTACAAGCAGGAGAGGGAAAAACCCAAGAATTTTGTTAAGAACCTTGTGAGGTCAGACTTCCCTCTGTGGTTTTCCCTCTGTGCTGAGCTCAGTGCAGCCAGGGCAGCCTCATTCTCCAAAAGCTTTTGGACACTTAATTGCTGACCAACCACGTGGCACCTCGGCCACTTCAAGGTGTTCGTGGTGTGTGACGGGCTGCTGGTCCTTTAGGGCTGGGCTGGTGGGGCATCAGTGCTGCACTGGGGCCTGCCTCTCATCCTGCTTCTTTCTCGTCCTCTTTTCCAGAGCCACGTTCTCCGTCCGGCCTCCGTGCACCCTCCAGGTCCTGCCAGTACAATGGGACCACGTACCAGCAGGGCGAGATGTTCAGCACCAGTGAGCTCTTCCCCGGCCGCCAGCCCAACCAGTGTGTGCAGTGCAGCTGCTCCGTAAGCTACCACGGGAGCTGGGGCTCTCTCCTGCGCCCCAACAATGCCCCAGCAGCTCAGAAAACCCCAGGAGATGAGGCAGAACCAGCTCCTGGGGGGATGGTTTATCCCTGGGGGGATGGTTTATCAGTGCAGAAGGTTTACTGGAGATCACCCGGGCCAGGTCTGGGTGGGCCACAATGGGGCAGTGTGGGTTGGGCAGTGGGAGAGCCCTGTCCTCACAGAGCACCGCAATGCTCCAGGGGAGCAGCATCCAGCTATCCCAGCTGCCCCACTGACGCTTTGTGTGCATCCAGGAGCCCTTCTGTCTGTGCTGGCTGCAGAGCCAGTGGGCTTGGTAGCCAGGGAGCCCAGGGGAGCTCAGTGTGAGCTCCTTCCTGGTGCTTCCCAAGGCAGCATGGACACGAGGTGCCAGGGCCTGGGATTCATGTGCTCCTGCGATCCACAGATTCAAAAAATGGCTTAGGTTGGAAGGGACATTAAAGCTTTTCTGGTTCCATCCCCTGCCGTGGGTGGGGACACTTCTCACCAGACCAGGCTGCTCCAAGCCCTGTCCTTTGCAGCCTGGCCAGGATGCCCTCAGTGTGCATCCCAGTGATGAATTGCTCCTCCAGCACCCACTGCTCCTTTGGGATGTTCCTTCTCCATGAGCTTCCAGTAATGCCTTGAGACAGGGCTTGGCTCTGCTCTGCCAGCCCTTTCCCATGGGTTGTGATCCTTTGAAAATCATCAAAATCTGAGTTCTGACACCTTGCTCGGGAGGTGGGAGGTGTGGGTGCAGCCTGACCAGCGGCAATAGGAAGGCGTGTGGAGTGCCAGGAGCCAAGCATTGGGAGATAAATGGAGCAGCTCCTCTTCCTTGAGATGGAGTGAGGAAAGGGGATTGAAAGTGCTGACACTGTAATTGGACATGGTAGGGCACTGCTCATTCCCACTGCTACCTCTGCCATGAAAAATGACATGGGTACAGGTGTGGCTTTCACCATGTGTCCCTCAAAGCCCTCAGAGGGGCCAGATCTCACCACTCTGTGCTTTGCTTTCAGCAAAGGGTGGGACCAAGTTTGGCCAGGAAATGAAATAGGGGCAAGAGAGCCCAAACCCTCTGTCATGCCAAGAGCACACACACAGGTGATGCATCAGTTGATGCTGGACAGTGAAGTATCTGTGATCCTGGAATAGCTGGTCTGAGCCTCTGGGGCGTGTACCTACCTCAGAGCTGGGTGACAAGAGGAATAACTGACGTGTAGAAATTGTGCAGCTTTTGAGGCTGGTTCCTCTCTTAGGGAATCCCAGCTGGATTGTGGGAAACACTGGGAAGGAGCTCTCTAATCCAGCTGCATGTGGTCATCTGCCACTGTCCCCAGGAGCCCGTGGAGCTCCATGTCCCTTGTCACTCAGGCTCTGTTTATTTGTCAGGGTAATGCCTTGGATACAAAGGGCAAAATAAAGGGCTGGCTGTGGAGCCTTCAATGGGGGGATCTCCCCGGGCTGTGTCTGATGTTGTCAGCTGCTAGAACAGCTGCGTGAACAGCTGGTCTGACCCTCTGAAAACTGCCCCAAGACCAGAGCCTCTGGGATAAATCCTTTTTATGGCACTGGCTATTTCCTGCCTGGGGCAGCTCACTGATCACTGCTGTGAGCTGCTGGGCAGAAGGAGAAGGAAGGGAGAGGCAGGTCTGGAGCCCTGAGTGGAGAGCAGGATTTGGTATGCAGAGACCTCTGCCAGATCCTATCCCCTACCAAACTTCCCTCATCCTCTTCATGTTCCTCACACATTGGTTTGGCTTCCTGATGGAAGACTAGACAGCTGTGGTTTGGTTTTCTAAGGACATCTTTGGCTGGCCTCTTGCTCTTGGTTGACTGGGAGCTTGTGGGTTCCCCAGAGAAAATTGCTGCATGGAGAAGATGACCTTGCTGTCAACATCTGGCTGCTGAACATCTTTTTTTACCCTTTAGCAAAGTAACAAAAACTTGTTCCTGCAACAAACTGGTGCAAATCCACTGACTGAGGCAGCACTGGGATGCACAAAGGTCAAGGCTGGCCTCGACCTGTGGTTTTCAGCTTGAATCACTACAGCAATGATATTTTGATTGGTGGTGTTGGAAGATGGACTATCAGGGGGCTTTTGATCATGGACTCATAAAATCCTGGAATGGTTTGGGTTGGAAGGGACCTTAAAGCTCCTTCAGTCCCACCTGGGCAGGGACACCTTCCACTATCCCAGGTGACTCCATGCCCTGCCCAAGCTGGCCTTGGACACTTTCAGGGATGGGGCAGCCACAGCTTCTCTGGCTCTCAGGGCCTCCCCACCCTCACTGGGAAGAATTTCTTCCTAGTGATTTATGGTAAACCTGTAGTTTGAGGTGCTAGGAGCCCTATATGTGGGACACAGAGCTCTTCCTAATGTTGACAATGTTTTTTTCCTCCTGCCCTCCTAGGAAGGCCAGATTTACTGTGGCTTGGTGACCTGCCCCGAGCTGCTGTGCTCCTCTCCCTTAACTGTGCCAGATTCCTGCTGCCAGGTCTGCAAAGGTAATGAGGCTGGGACTTGGGGCTGGGAGACTACAGCTGGTTGCCACCTGACAGCAGGAGCCATTTCAATCCACTTTACAGGATTTTGGAAGCCTGGGCTATAAATCAGGCCACTTGTTATCTCTTGGTTTCACCAGGAAGCAAAAGCTGAGGGTTTAGGTTTTCCTTGGGTGATATGAATTGCATGTGCAAAGTTCCTGTCTCTCCAGACTCCCAGGCAGGCCAGCACATGGAGGAGAGCTGCTTCCAGCCTCAGAGAGTGAACCTCCATTCAGCCCTGCAGTATTCCTGGACCATGTTTTTCCCTTGCAGATGGCTCCTTTGAGAAGTCCACAGAAGAGGAACCACTGCAGCTAAACAGAGGTGTTGTACGTGACATTTGCATTTTAAAACTCCGCTTCTTGCTTCTAGCACAGCCCCCTGAACAGCTTACAGGATGCCCTTGCACAATGTCCTCTACAAAGAAATCACCCCCAGCAGCTCTAGGAGTCCACACAGCAGAACCATGGACACCTGACTTGCAGGTGAACTGTGCCATGGAATTGAATCTAGCTGAGAGATATCAGCCTAGGTGAGACCTCAGGCCACCAGGGAAAGACTCTTCTACTCTCCCACACCATGGGACATGGATTAGTGGTGGAGCTGGCAGTGTCAGGTAAAGGGTTGCACTTGATGACCTCAGAGAATTTTTCCAACCTTAATTATTCAGATTCTATGATTCTATGACATCTTTGGAAGAGCAAAAGACCTGCAGGAGCTTGAAATCTAGGACACTTCTCCTTGCTGGCCAGCATCTGCAAGGACATTGTCAGAGCAGACCCAGAGGTGACCAGCAGCCAGGCTTGACCCTTGTCCATAGAGTCAGATGCCCAGATCTCTCTTGAGAGGGTTTTTCCTTCAGGAGAAGGTGTCTCCTCTCCCCTTGGGCATCAAGGTGTCCTGCCTCCCACCAAGAGGGCAGTGCTGGAGCTGGCCACTACTCTGCCCTCCCCAGGCTGTTTGTATCAGCAGCCCCAGCAAGGAAAAAGTGACTCCTTGGCTGCTGAGGGTTCCTTCACAGTGACATTTCAGAGCTGGGCAGCCCATGCCAGGTCTGTGGGATTAGGTCACTTAGCTTCTGGCTCTGCCCCTTTTCCATACTGCTCCACCACCTATAAAACCTCCAAAATAGATACAAGGGGACCCTTTGTGCTGCGTGTCTTGTCCCAGCACTCTGCTCTTGGAAGCCTGGGATGTTCCTGGCATTTCAGTCCTGCTGGCTGGCAGCCCCATGCCGACTGCCCTGGTGTCTACCAGGTGAGAGAGCAGGATATGGCCCATCCTCACCTTTCTGATCCCGTCTGAGCCACACGGATGCCAGTCCTCATTTTCCCATCTAGGAAAGACCAGCCTCTTTCCTTGTGTGTTTTAGGGATGTAGGACCTCACATGCTTCTCTGAGGGCATTGGGTTGAGCTTGGTTAGGGAAAGGTGCTGCCCCAGCGAGGGTGACCCACATGAGGGGGACACCAGTGTGGGGCACTGACACCGACTGCTCAGCACACCCTGGGTGGTGGCAGCAGCAAGATGGGGAAGGGACTGGAGCCCCAGGAGGGGCTGAGGGAGCTGGGAAAGGGGCTCAGCCTGGGGAAGAGGAGGCTCAGGGGGCCCTTCTGGCTCTGCACAACTCCCTGACAGGAGGGGACAGCTGGGTTGGGGTCAGACCCTGTTCCCAGGGAACAGGGACAGGAGGAGAGGGAATGGCCTCAAGCTGTGCCAGAGGTTCAGGTTGGATATTAGGGAAGCTTCTTCTCCCAAAGAGTCTGTCCAGCACTGGTACAGTGCCCCACCAGGGCAGTGGTGATGTGGATGTGGCACCTGGGGACATGGCTTCATGGTGGCCTTGGCAGCGCTGAGGGAATGGTCAGGCTCCAGATCTCAGAGGAATTTTCCAACCTTAGTATTTCTGTGATTTATATGGCTTGTGGGTCTTTGCTTATCCCTGTGGTCTCTGCCCCTTCCACTCCTGATGGAAGGCATGAAGGACACTGCATGGCTTTTTCCAGTATGCTTTGGAGTGAGAGCAGCTCAACTGCTGGAGTCTGAATCCTCTCTTTTCTCTGGCTGCCCTCAGAGACACTCACAAGACCAGTGCTTGGGAGAGGTGATAGGGAGGAAGCCGCCTGGAGCCACTGTGTCCACTGTTCTCAGCTCTTCCCTGGAGTTAATTCCCAGAAGCTTCAAGCCCAAGGGAACAGGTGGCACCACTGTGAAGATCGTCTTGAAAGAGAAGCACAAGAAAGGTAAGGGATGCAGAGGTCAGGCAGCCTGTATGTGGCTTAAAGTGGCTTCTCCAGAGCTTGGAACTCTTCAGGGAATCTGATTCCATGGCAGGTTTTCACCAGCAAGTCCTTCTCCCCCCTCTTCCATGGCCAACCTCAACCAGGTATCTCAGTTCTCATGCCCACAGTCTCCTGACTGCTTGAATCTACCTCTTTCCAAAATGGGTTGGAAGAAGACTGGTGCTTGGAATGTTTTGGAGTTCTGGGACTTGGGAAGGAAGGAGCTCACCTGGAAGAATCCATATGGACCTTCCAGGACAGTGCCACAGAGGGACAGGATATTCCTCCTTGTTAACTATGTGCAAGTGCTGGGTCTGACCCAGTGCTGTCCCAGGTGTTCCTCCTGCAGGTGAGAGTGGGAAAGTGAGATGAGGAGTCAAGCCCCTTGATCCAAAGTGGGGAACAACAGGTCCTTTCTCCTCTTGGCGGCTCTCCCACTATTGTGCCCTTGGAAGGGTTCTTTCCAGTCCTTGGAGATGAAGGCCTGGAGGAAATTTTGGGACCTCCAGAAATTTTCATGGAGGAGTCAGCAGGTGGCACTCTTCACTGTGCTTCATTCCTGCGACAGCCTCGGAGGGACCCTGGGCTTCCAGAAGTTGGGAGGCAGGTGAGGTCCTGCCCACACCTGCTCCTGTCCCCACCAGGGTGGTCAAAGCCAGCAGAGCCATCTCCTGGCACTCGGTGCCGCTGTCCCATGGCAGCTTCTGGGTGTGGTGGCTGTGACAGCCCAGTGCCCGCTGCTGCTGGAGGTCCTCGTTCCTCCACACAGCAGGAGCACCCACATTTGAGGCAGTGACTCCATTGGCTTTACGAAGATGAGGAGGAAGATTTATTTCCACAAGCTGTTCTCTTCTCTCTCCTTCAGCTTGTGTTTACAATGGGAAGACCTACTCCCATGGGGAAGTGTGGCATCCCGTCTTCCGCCTCTACGGCCTCCTGCCCTGTATCCTCTGCACGTGCAGGGACGGCGTCCAGGACTGCCAGAAGATCACATGCCCTAAGGAGTATCCGTGTGAATATCCAGAAAAACTAGATGGGAAATGCTGTAAAATATGTCCAGGTAGGTGGGATCCCACCTGCTCCTGTGGCTACCTTCCCCTTCCTTCCCTATCCTTGCTTTAAAACCTCAGGCTGACAGATGTGTATGGATTCAGATTGCTGGTGGCTAGAATTCACACTAGACAGGTTCAGAAGGGCAAGCACTGATGGAAGGGTTGGCTTCTCTTGGAGGGCAGCAGGACTTGCCCGAGGTAAGGAAGATGCCCTGACCCCCAAAAGGTTCTGTCTATTGGGAGGATGAAGTCTGGAGAAAGACACTTGAGGCAGGACACACTGAGAGTGCTCAGATGGAAGGTGCTTTCAGGGGAGAGGACACACAGTCTGTTCTCCAAACCTCCAGGTGGGACAAAAACCAGAGGCAGCTGAGGTGTAGGTGTGAAGGGAGGAGCAAGGACACTTCCCAGGAGAGTGGTTGTCTCTGGTGCTCATGGTTTGTTGGAATTGGAGTGCTCCATCTCTGGAAGTGGAGGTTGAACACACAGGTTTTAGGGTGGTCCAGGTAGAACTGGGCTGGAAAGCACCAGGAGAGGCTGAGGGAGCTGGGAAAGGGGCTCAGCCTGGAGAAGAGGAGGCTCAGGGGGCCCTTCTGGCTCTGCACAACTCCCTGACAGGAGGGGACAGCGGGGGGGTTGGGCTTTGCTCCCAGGGAACAGGGACAGGAGGGGAGGGAACGGCCTCAGGCTGGGCCAGGGGAGGCTTGGACTGGATGTTACGGAAAATTTCTTCCCCCAAAGGGTTGCCCAGCTCTGCCCAGGGCAGTGGTGGGTCCCCATCCCCAGAGACATTTAAAAGCTCTGTGGCACTTGGGGACATGGGCCAGTGGTGCCTTGGCAGCGCTGGGGGAACAGTTGGACTTAATGATCTCAAAAGTCTTTTCCAAATTTGATGATTCTGCCATTCCATGGTGGAGAAGACCTCTTTTCCTTTTCAGTTCAGTGTGTTTTGGGTCTCTCAGCTCCCTGGTCTTTGGAAAGCTGTTTGCTTTAAGCCACAGACCTGGCAAGGTTGTGGCAGGGTGGGACGTCTCCTGCTGTTCACCCTGGAGAATGTTTTGTGCATGATACCTCTCTGTACTGACATTTATCAGGAGATGCTCAGCTGATGGACCACCCACTGCTTCCCTAGTGAGACTAAAGGTGTCTTTAAGCCTGGCTGCAGGTGCAGGTTCTGCATGATCCCCTCTGATCCGCATCTTCCAGGAGTTTCTGTGGAGGGGTTCCACCCAGGATGACAAGCAAAGGGCATGGCCATGTTTGAGAATGGCTGCAAAGTCATTTGAGCTGAGATTTTCAAGGTTTTCCAGCCCCTGAGTGGAGAGGTTCTGAGATGGCCTCCCCAGGGGAGCGAAGGGCAGAAGCTCAGCCTGTTTTAATAAGGTTTTTGATATGTTTATGAGCAGGATTTATGATGTGGTGCCTGGTGGGAATGGGATGTAATGACTGAGCAGAACCCTTCCAGTCTTGCATTCCCACTCCAGTGGGTCTCTCTGGTTTAAATCTGACAACTTTCCCTGCTTGGATCTTGTCTGCTGTTCAGACTTCATTTTTTTTTCCAATTAAACGCCCTGATGGAGCCAAAATGATTTTGTTCCTGCTTTCCAGTTCTCACAGATAGCGATCACACACACACCCCCATTGCTCAGCCAAGTTACATCCTTGTTCTTTCCTTCACCGTGTGGAGGCTTTGCCCAGGTTCTTTTTCCAGGTGCTTTCTGTGACTGTCCTTATCCTCCTCCTTTGTACCCAGTAGCTTAGGAATGCTGTGATTTTGCTAAAGGGAGCCCGATCCTAGGAATTGCTGTGAAGTGCTGTTTGGATGGGGGGACACTGCTGTGGGCAGAGCTGGTGACCATGACCTCTGTGTCCCTGCTCCTCCTCCCTGCTGCTGTGGGCTCCGGTGTGAAAGCTCCTTGGTTGTTAAATCCCTGTGGAATTCCAGGGGTTCCTTTCCTGCTGTGCAGGTGGGGCTTTAATCACAGACTCCATGATCTTAAAGGGCTTTTCCAGCTTTAACAACTCCATGCTTCTGTGAATGCCCTGGAGCAGGTGAAGTTTAAGGCTGTGGGACAGAGGTTTCCCTGATCCCTGACCCTGCAGTGGGACAGGTGAGGGTGCTGGGCTGTGCTCATCCCCTCTGCCTCACGCTGAACTGCGGAACTGAGCGCCTGTCCTCTGGTTGATGAAAAGCTTTGCTGCTCTTTAAATTGGGATTTCCATCCCCTCTCAGAGAAGAAGAGCTCAGGACCACCCCAGAAAGCCTGGGGGAGAGAAGAATCAGGCCTAAAGTGACTGTCTTACTAAAATAAACCCCAGGCATCTATTTATAGCCAAACTTTCTTTCAAGTAGTGCAAAATGCTTCAGCATCCAAACTGACTGGGAGAACAAGGCTAAATTCAGCAGAGCTGGGCTCCTCTGCGTTCCAAGGACCACAACCAAAGGCAATAAATCTCCTTCCAAAACCACAGGGGATTCTTAATTACTCCAGATACATTAAAAAAAAAAAAATAAAAAGGGAAAAATTAGCAGCTCTTCTTTACCAAGAATGCTGAAAAAGTCACGTAGGACCCAGTGTGGATGTCCTTGTGGTGACACCCCATGTGGGGAGGGTGCTGGGGCTGGTGCTGAGCCCACCTGTGGGGCTGAGCTGGGCACACTTCCCAGACAGCCCAGGCTCCCCTGCTGTGGGCTCATCCCTTTACCCCCCTGATGTCCCTCTCCCAGCAGGAACGAGATGGGAAGTGGGGAATCCAGCTCGTGCTTTGTGGCCATGGTGGCATCAAGGTCACTGCAGAGAATATGTGTGATCCAGATGGACAAAATACCCTTTCCCCATCCCTGCTGGCACAGGGGCTGCTGGGGACAGGGGTGGGGAACGAAAAACACGAGAATGAGGAGGTCCACGCATCCTTTATTAACCTCTCCATTGCTGCTGGTCCTGGAGCTGGGGATGGGATCATGAGACAGACAAGGCTGTGCCACGTGGCACCAAAGCCAACAAGATGCCTTCTCCATGAGCTGGGTGCTGAGATGGTCCTTCCTGCCCCCATCTGATGAACTCTGTCCTTGTTTCTGCTCAGACACCAGAGTCAAACCCACGGATGGAATCGCCACCCCCCAGTGCGGCAAGAGCCCCAGCCGTGTCCTGGTGTACACGTTCGTGCCGCCACGCTCAGAGGCCTCCAAGGAGATCCTCAGGACCATGGCAATCGAGAAGGAGCTGGCAGAAGAGGTGGAAATCTATAACTGGAAGCTGATTAAAGGTGAGCACCATTATGAAAGCAGCCAGCAGAGCAGGAGGTGTGTGTGGAAACCTGACGCTTTCCAAGCTTTGTTCAATTTTTCTGGCTCTTCTCGAGGTGCACCCCTTGTGTGGTGAATCAAAACCTGCTGACAGCAGGCTGGCTTTTCTGACTCCCCCACTTCACACTCTTTCCCTGCATTCCATGCAGACCAGGGGCTGGAAACCAGTTTTGGCCCCACTAACCTCACTGTAAGCTGCAACGCCATCTGAAGGCACAGCACTCAGGCAAGCAAGACAAGGGCCTTGGGGCTGCTCCTCCAAACCTTCCTGCTCTCATGACAAATGCACATGGAAGACAAACCAAAAAATCGTTCTGGCCACTCTGTGGTTTTGCTTTTGCTCTTTTTTTACACCCCAGTCCACCTACAGCTTGGAAGCTGCCGCAAAGGTGCACACAAGGGGGATGACTTGTCCCCAGCCCACTTTTCAGATGGGCGGATTTGGATGCTGCTGCTGGTGTGTCCTCTAGAGGTCAAAGCACGGCAAATACGCTGTCAAACGGCATCGATCTCTCTCGCTCTCTCCCCACACCTTCAGCTTTGCTCTTAGAAGGAGTCCAGAGACACCCAGTAGGTATTTGTGCTTTGTTTCTCTGCAGCCCAGGGAAGCATCCCAGTGCCCCATTCCTGAGTTTCCATTGCACATACTTGACCCCCAAAAAAGTTGAGCGCTTGAGGTTGGTTGTACCTTTTCTGTGGATACAGTGACCCTCGACCTCTGTCTGCTGGACATGTGGAGCCATTCTGGTCTCCTGGTGTGTCCACATTTCACACCGCTCCCTAGAGAGACGTCAGCCAGCTGCTGAGACTGGGCACACATGGATAGCAATCTGAGAAATTAGCTCCAGAGATGGAGCCCTGGTCACCACCATGTTTCCATCCTGCCCCTGCCATCCTCCGTCCTCCAGGGTGCCCCCCTGCCCATGCTCCCCCGCCTCAGTGGGGCCTCCCTCACAATGGCACCTTGTAGCTGAGGACAGCTCTGAGCCCGGGCTGTCTGGGCCCCGCCGCTTCCTCCCCTTGCTCCTTGGCACGGGGCAGCACCCAAACCTTCTCGGCATCTTCCGAGGCCAAAAGCTTCACGTCTGCATGGAGCTCCCAAGCTCTGCCAGCCAGGGACAGGGGAGGCCCTTGTCCCTGAGGCCAACACAGCTCTTTTGCTTGGCAGAGTGAAGTGTTATTATTGGGAAACAGCATGAGCTCACTCACATATGGATTCCACCTCTCCATGGTCCATCACTCTACCAACAGAGCAGCGTGTGTGGAGTAAAGAGGCTGCAAGTCACACCTGGACCTCGTCCATCTGCCTTTGTATGGGCTCATGATACCTACGTGGCCTCATCTATTTCTGGGCCAGGACGGTTTCCTCCACAAAGCAGGAGTTGGGAGGAGAAACCAACACCAGATCCCAGCCAAAAGTTTTACCTGGCTGGCTGGTAGCGCACAACTGGCCTCCAGAAGAGTTTCACCAAGGGCTTCCCCATCTTTTTAGGGGTCTGGACATCACCAGTTTTGAAAACTGACTTTCTGATGTTTTTGACCTGGTGTCCTCTCGCTATGGGCCCTGTTGAGAAGCCCATCCCCCTCTTTTGTACAAACCCCCCTTAAAGCAGCAAAAGCGGTGGTACGTGCCCAAGAGCCCCAGCAGCTCACTCCATCTGCTCACTCCAAATGCTGCCAGGAATGCTCCTGCCTGCTAGATGGGATGTGCTTGCCAGGAAATGGCACTGCCCTGTGCCAGCTCCATCCATCCTGCCTCTCCACTGGCAAATTGTTCTTAACTTGTGCTATCCTCATTCCCACTGGAGTGTGGCCTGCGCTCCTCCTCTGCTCTCCAGACCCTGGCATGTGTCAGGAGTGACCATCCCGGGCGGCCAGAGGTCTCAGCCAGCTCTCGGAAAGCTCTTGGGAGCATTATCTAGGTCGGATGATTAAAAGATGTTTATCTCTTGTAGGTCTTGTTTAAAATATCCTCTTGGTTACTAATGTGCTGGAAAGTGCTTCATCAGCCCCGGGGACTGTAAGCACACCCTCCTGCTCTTCTCTAAGTATAGAGCAGAAGAATTTATTGAACACTTGTGCCTTTCTTGCGTCAATAACAGTTTTATTATCTCCATCCGGTATCTTCTTTGTTACTGGTAGGACCTCCTTACCCAACCCACTGAAAGGACTAATTAATGGTCCAAGTATCCATCTATTTCTTGCTATGCTGTTGACTTCCTGTACTAATTTTCCACAGTTGATAACATCTCATTTATCTGGATTGTGAGGCAATTCCCCTTCATTACATACTCTTTTTATGTATAATTGCTGCTGGGAATCAGGGAAAGTCTCTTAACCAAATAAGGGGGCCCACGTTGCCTCTCACATCTGCTGGCAGCAAGTGGCTGGATGCTCCGGGAGCCTGAGTGAGAGGTGGGGAAGGATATTCCAGGCATACCTGCCTGGTTTGTCATGCTTTGCGGGAGAGTAGGAATATCACAACCCCTAATCCCACAGGAAGGCCACTTTCATTGCTAAATGCAGGTTCTGGTTAGCATGGGTCAAACATCTGAGTCAGCACCTCTGCTGAGGGGACAATGCAGGCAGGGGCAGAAATACCCATCTCTGCTGAGGTCACTTCTGTTTTTTCCTGTCCTGGAGCAATTTCAGCGCTGCTGACGAAGAGATAGAAAACGTTGGTCCGTCTGCTTCCAGGACAGGAAATCATCTGAGCATGGAGGGGTCTCTGCAGTCAGGGAACGTAGGTGTTTCAGAGTGAGCAGAGGGGACGGGGATCCCAGCATCCCCTTGCTCTCACCTTTATTTCTTTCATGGTTTTAGGGGAGATTGGAATTCCTGCAGGGCAAGATGCTTCCAGGAGCAACAAAATGCCATTGCTTTCAGCTGCTTCATGGTGTAACATCCTGATTTAACAAGCAGTGACTGTGTTTTCATTGAACCATAGAATTTTAGAAAGGTTTGGGTTGGAAGGGAGCTTCAAGCCTGCCCCATTCCACACCCCTGCTGTGGACAGGACTCCTTCCACTAGACCAGGTTGCTTCAGACTTGCCTTGAACACTTCCAGGGCTTCTCTGGGCACAGCTTCTCTGGGCAACCTGGCCAGGGCCTTGGCACCCTCACAGGGAAGAATTTCCTCCTAATATCTAATCTGATGCTTAAATGAGATGTCTCCTGGCCTTGGCCAGCCCTGGATTCATTCCCAGCTCCCACCAGGCTCTGGCAGCAGGTCCTGCACCAAACCAGGACCCCGGGGCAGACAGGGTGTCAGAAGGGGACAGAGAATCCAAACCTGTGTGAGCCTCCAACTGGGCACTGCAGAAACTGATGCCCTGTGTCCCCCTCTGCAGGAATATTCCATCTGATCCAGACCAAGAAGATCAGCAAACAGGAATTCAAGCAAGAAGCACAAAACTTCAGGCTGATCACTAGGACAAACGAAGGTAGGGAGAGAAAAATCCCATTTCCTCACTCCTCCAGCACTCCCTGCCCCAAACCACCTCCTGATTTCCTGCTCTTCCAAAAAGGCTGTGTAAATCCCAGCATGGTGTAGGGAGCTGAACCGTAGGGAAAACACTTGTGCAAGAGTAGCTGGGCTGGGGCTGACCTGTCTTCAGGCCCATACGCAACACTCCTGGTTAACAGCCACATTTTCACTTTATGGTATTGGAAAGGGCAGCCAGCTTTCTAAAAGTGGATGCACTCTTGTGAAATCCAGAGGTTTTGTCTCTCCAGAGCCCGTAAAACTGTTTGATTTTTATATCTAATCCATCTGGTGCTCCTGGGAGCATGTGGGGAGGGGGAAAAAAATGGCGCAAGGGATTATCAAAAAATATAAACTGTTGAAATATTTTTTAAGAAGCATTCTGGATGGTCCGGGATGCGCGTAAACATGACAAAGAGCAGGAACGCTGGTGCACATGCTGGGAGTGCCTGTGTGGAGCGAAGCTTCCATGCTGTTTCCTGCTGGCTGCCTCCTGGCCTGGCTGGGCTGGAGTTTAGTGGGGCAGATTGGGGTCAGAGCCGTGCCCACAGTGCTCAGCCCCCGTGGGCTGCGGGGGCGCTCGGAGCAGCGCTGCTGCCTGTGCACAGCAGCACTCCCAGGTATGCTGGGGGTTATTTTCACCCCCAATCCATTTAAGACAGCATCTTTTGACCAAACCTGGGGGGATTTTGCAGTCCCAGGCTGGGCTTCACACCCTGGTGGAGTCTCTGGTATGTGCCTCCTTCTTCTTGCCTCAGTTTTCCCTGACAGATAACCCTGTTGTGAAACCATCCCACTGCTGCAGCTGCAAGTTCTAGGAAAGCTCTGACTGATGATTTCTTCACAGCAGAAGATTAATTCAGATAAAAATATTCCCTCCACCCCTGGAGCAATGACATTGGGGCTGCATAATCCTTGCTGGGATTGCACTGAGGAAAGAGAATACCTGGAGGGAAAGCACCTCCAGCCACCTCCTGCACACCAGGGATTCTTTTGGGGAGCAAGGAGAGGGATTGGGACACTTTGTCCTGGTTTGGGGTGGGGGGGCTTCGCAGCTCAACGTTTGATTTGCTGGGAGTCTGCAGCTCCTTGGGGGATTCAGAGGGATTCCTCCTCCTCCTTCTTCTGCAGCAGGATTTCCTCCTACCATAGGCTGCTGAATGAAGACCCAAGGCTGAGGCAGCAGTAAAAAAATGAATAGAAATGGGGGGTTTTGAGCAACCCATCCCAAACAAGTGGGGCTGACAGAAGGGAGGAGAGAACCATACTTGTCCATTGCCCACAGAACTGAAATTTTGGCTTTCTGAGATTGAGACAGAAGATAAGCATAATGCTTCTTCCCCTCAGAGGCAGAAAGTCAGCCCAAATCCCAGACATGCTGGGGAGGACATGGACCTAACAACATGTCAAAGCACCCTTTATAGAGGTGGAGAGGGAGATTTATCCCTGTGTCAGTCTGAGCCCCTTTTCTTTTCAGGCTGTGCAAGTGTTTTCCTGAAAAAGCCATGTGAGTGCCATTGATTGTGACATTAATTGCACTGCAAGAGTAAGAGCCCCTCCAAGCACCATTTTAACCACAAGACTACAAACCTGGAGCTGGGATGATGGATGAGCTGCTGTGAGCACGGCCGGTGTTGCGGGCAGACCTCTCCCGCAGAGAGGTCCTTGGGCATCCTCCAGTGCCCAGGGTGCTACACACACAGGAGAATCCTTGTGCTTTCCTGCTCCAAGGCTGCTGCTAACACGTCTGTCTTTGCTCATCCAGGTCACTGGAACATCTTCCGAGCCCAGACATCTGAGCTGATGACAGAAAGCCCAGAGAAGGAAACAAAGAGCTTGTAAAGCAAAGAACTTTCCTCTAACTATTGATTTATCTACACACAGACACACATACACATATATATGAACTCCAGAGCTGCATTATTAAATAGACTGGCACTGCAATACAGGTTACACTAGTGGAAATTCCAGCAACTCCAGAGAATGATCCCAATCCATCGGCATCGAAGCCACAGCCGTGTAGGTGCCTCTCTCCAGCAGGACAGTGCAGGAGGCTGGCCACCACCTCCCACTATCCCAAAGATGTTGGATGAGCAGAGGGAGGAGGGAGAGATGGCAGAGGGGTGAGACCTGGTGCAACACAAGGAAGTGGGATCCATCCTGGACACCCCAGTGTTCCTGAGGAGCATCAGGAGTGCGCAGCAAAGCGGAACACCACCGTTCTGCTTCCTGCCAGCTGCTGGTGGAAAGATGACCTGCAAAGAAAGAGAAATCATCTCTCTTCCCTTCCTTGGAGCCCTTGGGATCTGCAAAGGGGTTTCTTTGGCTGAGTGCCCTCCAAGGGTGTTTTTTGAAAAATCTCCTCTCTTCCAGCCGGGACGATTCTTTTCCCTTCTTTGCAGGTCACTTGAAAATGTAGGTTTTGGGAGGACCCACCTGCTGGCAGGGTCTGAGACCCTGAACACTGCACTAAGGTCGCTACTCAGCATTTATTGTGCTATATATTTATATCTATCCTATATAATATCTATGGGGCTGTATTCACAGGAGGTGCATCTCCCAAAGGGCAAACAGGATCGTTTCTGCAGCACAGGGAGGAGGGTGTGCAGCAGCATCACCTTCCCCCTTGTTTGGAAACAGCTTTGGGGGATTTTCAGGTTGTTTTGGTACATATATTTATCCCTGGATTCTTGTTTTACTGTTTTGATAAATCTATTTATTTGGAGATCCAACTCTGTCTGACAAATCTGATTAAAAGTCTTCTTGATTCAGCTTCCTGTACTGGTTTCTCCTTTCCCTGTAGGGTCTGTGTTAAAGCTCAGGAGCCCTGGTGGGGTCTGGTTCCCTTGCACTCACTCAGGCAACATCCTCAGGGCTGGGATGCAGAGAAATCCCGCAGATGCTTTGCTCATCCGTAAGGGATCACCCCTTCCCATCTGCTTGTGGTCTGCTCATGGCTCTGGGCTGAAAACAGAGCTCGGGGCTTGGGCCCTGAGCTGGCACTGCTCACCAGGGCCACACAAAGGGGCTGAGCTGCCTAAGTTTATCCAGGAAAAAGTCCCAGTGAGGTTTGGGCATTAGGGGGGCTCCCCATGGAGTGAGGAGAAGGGAGAGGGGCCAAGCCACCTCCCTGCCCCACAGCCGCCTGCATGGAGGCTGCAGCGCGAGGATGCTGCCAGTCCTCGGGCACAGCCTGACCCCTCACTTGTCAGCCTAATTAGCTGGCCCTTGTGTGATCTAATTGGAGCTGAGCCGAGGGCCAATTTGTGCTCATTTACCAGAAGTGGAGGCGTTGGAATGAAGCTGCTCCGGTGGGTTTGTAGGGAAGGCTGGAAGGAAATCAGCAGGAATTCTGCACTGCCTGGTCTGGCTGAGGTTTCCTGCAAGTATCTGCAGGGTGCTGAGCCCATACAGGCTCTCCTGGGACCATGGACACTAAGCCCAGACACAACCAGACCTCTTGGGTGCAACCCAGCTGAGTGCCTTACACACAGAACCCCTCTGCCATGTCCAGGGGTGTGCTGGATGCTGCTGGATGCTCCAGGACCAGGAGAAGCCTCTTGGTGAGCAGTAACAGAGGGACCCGCATGGGATCGGGCTCTTCTCCCAGGGAGCAAGGCACCAGAGGAGGTTCAGGTTGGCTGTTAGGGGATGTTCCTTCCCCAAAAGGTTGTCCAGCCCTGGCACAGCTGCTCCACCCATCCCTGGGTGGATTGAAAGCTGTGTGGATGGGGTGCTTGGGGACGTAGGATAGAGGTGGCCTTGGCAAGGCTGGGAGAATGGTTGGGCTGGATGGGACCAGAGGGTTTTCCTAATCTGAGCAATTCAGTCATCCTCATTCTATGGAGGTGGTGCCCCTGAGTGATCCCAGCCCAGAGTGTGGCACATTGCACTCCTAGAGAGCACCACGGGTCTCAAGTGACCACAGAGCTGCCTCACCCCGGTCTCCAAAAATGCCCTTCGTGTGATGTGGCTCTTCCACGCTCCCCTGGCACCCCCAGCTCTGCTGGCCTGTCCCAGAGCAGAGGGATGGCACATGGGAAAAGCTTCCCCTCGGCTCGCCGGTGTCAGCGGTGTCCCAGGGCAGTGAGGGACGGCGGTGCCGAGGCTCTGGGGACACGGGGCTGTGCCGGGGCTCAGAACAGGCTGGACGGAACTGTGGGCAGCCAGCAATCCCCGAGTGCTGTCAGCGCTGGTCAGCCTCGCCAGGAGCCTGCCCTCGCACACCTCCTCGCGGGGCACGACTGGGATTAACCCTTTTAATGGGATCAGCAGCCCCGGGGCAGGAGGCAGCGCTTCGCCGTCGGTGGCATCGCCTTCCTCGCCCTGCTCCTGCTCCCTGCGTCCGTCCCTGCGCAGGTATCAGCCCGGAGAGACCCCGAGCTGGGAACACGGGGTTGATTCGGGGGCAGAGCTCACACCGTGCCCTGGCACCTTCTATCCCTCCCAGCGCTGGCTGCCTTCGCACATCTGTGAGCAAGGAGCAATCTCAGCTTGTGGCTGAAGAGATGGTGGGATTGTTTGGGTTGGAAAAGAGCTTTTCAGCCTCTCCAACCCCCTGACAGGAGGGGTCAGCCAGGTGGAGTCGGGCTCTGCTCCCAGGAGACAAGAGACAGGACAAAGAAAAGCTGTGCCTTAAACTGTGCCCTTAAGCTGTGCTAGGGGAGGTTCAGGTTGGATGTTAGGGGTAATTTCTTCCCCTAAAAGGTTGCCCAGCTGTAGCACAGATGCCCAGGCCAGTGGTGGAGTCCCCATTCCTGGAGAGATTTAAAAGCCATGTGGATGTGGCACTTGGGGACACGGGCCAGTGGTAGCCTTGGCAGTGCTGGCTGCACGTTTGGACTCATTGATCTTAAAGGTTCTTTCCAACTTCAGTGATTCTGTGGTAAGCCAAATGATGGATGGTTTTAGGAAAAAATTGAGCTCTCCACCTCTCTGCACAACCTGGCTGATGCCCCCTGCTCTGGACAGGCTCCTCCTGAACATCCACAGGGCATCAGGTGTTTCAGCCAGCTTGGGCCTCTGCTGATGTGGGTTAAAACCATGAGCAGAAAGTCACCACCAAGGTGGAGGAGCGTCAAGGGTCTTGACGCTGTCCCCTGGAGGCAGCCCGATGTCCTGAGAGGAAAAAACTCCCAGCAAACACCCAAATCCAGCCTGTGTGACACCGACATAAAATGTGCTGTCTGAGAGAGCCTGGCATAGCCTCAGGCATCAGCCCAGACTGAGGGACATCAGCCCTGCAAGAAGGGCTCATGCACGAGGGCTGAAGTGACACTGAGGGAATTTCAGTCTGTTCAGAGTATCAGTTTCAGGAATCCCTGCCTGGGGTGGTTGCTGTGTCACTTCCCAGTCCCCAGGGAGATGTTGTGATTCCGCTGCTGCTGCTTCTGCAGGACTCAGAGCTCCTGCTGCTGCTTCTCTGGGACCTGTGTGTCCTGCCAGCACTCCTGCAATGCTCTGTCCTCCTGCCGTGACCTGTTTGGAGCACAGTAAGTGCACCAGGTCTCTCATGGCTGGTCCAGCTTGTGCTGAGACACCTTTGGTCTCTGCAGAGAGCATCTGGGCACCGGTTTGGGTCCCTAGTACCAGGCAGGCAGGGACTGGATGGACCTGCTTCAGCTGGAAGAGATGCCAAAAACGTTTTCCCCTTCAGAAATGCTGGAACTGGGACCAAGGAAGAGAGGGGCATCCCATCCTTGGAGAAACCCAGCCTTCTCCCAGACACAACCCTGAACAACCTGATGTAACTTCAAAGTTATCCCTGCTTGGAGACAGAGGTTGGAGCAAGGACCTCCTGGGGTCCCATCCAACCAGAATTAGCCCATGTGCTCTGGGACAGATCGCAAGTCACCATCAAAATTTTGGCTCTACCTCTGGGGTCTTAGGTCTTTTTTACGTCAGAGCCGTGCTATTTCATGCTGTATTATCAGGTTAGTCAAAACACTTCTCCAAACTATATGTCTCCATAATTGTCAGCTACACTCAACTTCCTTGGCCCCTGCTGTTTTCCATTGCATCGGGTTTTCGGTCACGCAGAATATCCACTTTCACCTCCGTGTGCACCCCCTTTCCTGTGGGGAAGCCAACACCTCCTGGCTGTGTTCTCCAGAGTCCTGCTCCCCACAGGGATGGGGGAGAGCTGGTGTTGGTGATGGGTACTGCTCAGCCTGGGGTGTCCCTGTGTCACCGGTGCCATACCACACACAAGAGGGTTTGCTGTTGCTCCAAATATCCTGTATGGAGCCCACAGCCCTGGAGATGGTTCCAATTTTTAGGCATCTCCCAGTGAATTGGGTTGTGTGTTCTAATATCACCTTCCCCCAGTCAAAGGGAGGGATTTCTCCCCAAAAGGATAGGATTTCCCTTAAAAGCTCTGCATGGAGACACATGTACTTTGCTGGGCGAACGTTTCCTCCGCATCCACTCTCTTCTGCACATCCTTTTCTTTTTTCAGGATGAGAAATGGAGAAACCAGAGGATTGTCAACGCTGCAGGGCTCACAGGCTGTTCTCGTGCCACCACAGACCTGTCTCCTCTCCAGACTAAACAGTCCTAATATTTCCTGTGTCTTCTCACATAGAAATGTGTCTGTAATCACTCCTTTCTCCTGTTCCTTCACCTTTTTGGATGTGGGAGCAGCTCAGGATGTACCTAATCTGGCAGGTTGTCCAAGCTCTGCTGGGGAAATGGGATCGCATTTCCCTGTCTCCAGCTTTGTCAAAGTTTGACACCCCCAGGATCAGGAAACAAAGAAATCCCTGCAGAGAGAAGCTTTGCCAGCAAGTCAGGACTATCTGGACACTGGAAAAAGCCCCTGGCTTCCTGGAAGACGGGTGCTGAGAAAGGGGTGATGAGAAAAACAGGGAAATCCTTGGAGATCGCAGCTGGAGCCATCCAGAGGAGGGATGGAGGAAATGTGACCGGCGTGGCACGAGTGCAGTCCCAGAGGCCCTTTCCCCCAGCAGGATGCCTGGCCTTTGCCCATTCCCAAATGTGGACATTCCAGAGGAGAGGTAGGA